ACATTTCCCATGTATTCTCTATGCCATAGACTATAGCATTATAGGCGACGAAATTTCCCGATTTGAAGCGGACACTTGACCCGATGGTCAAATGGACACCATATCATGTTATGGTATGTCTATACAAAACTTATTGCCAAAGGGTTTTGGCGACGGCCGACCGGTTGGCCAACTGGTCATTGGCCGCTTCAAATCGGGAAATTTCGTCGCCTATAATGCTATAGTCTATGGCATAGAGAATACATGGGAAATGTTATAATACATTATGATGTATAACATATTATGATGTATAGAGTAGACTACTGTATAGTGTATAAAAACCAAAATCGATGTTTTGGCCGTATTGTACACAATAAGGCAATCATTAATTCATAAGTTATGATATTTAGGCATCAATTGTGAGGATTAAGTGTTTGATTGCATATAAAACTTATACATTATATACCGTTTGAGGCGTTTATTGAAGACACTATTGAATGCCTGATGTGTTAGGCGTTTGAAAGCCATAAATATTATTATATCATTTATTATAAACGCATTCCTTAAACAATTTTAACCCAATTTTTGTGTTGTTTTGCCATTCATTGCAATTATAAACTCATTTTGTATTCAATTTGTATTCAAACCATAGTTTTCAACACTAATTGCATTCATAATAAGCATAACGACAGCCGTATTGGCCAAAGAGGATGGGGTAGAGAATCGGGCGCTCAATGGGTTCGGCACTCATTTGCCAAACACTTATCACTTTGGATACGACTCTCAGGTATTCATACATTACCTCAAAACCAAATTACATATTAATTATGCAAACATTGAAAACAATTTATAATTACTCGCATTCAATGCCTAAAACAGTATAACGTGTTATTAATGCACAAAAACTTAAAAGTAAAAATTATTTTTAATTATTTATAGCACTTATAAACAGATAATACTGTTGTATAAAATAAATTAAAAATATTTAATTGAAAACAAAATGAAAAGTAATATAAATGTAATTTGTATTTGAATTGTAGGCCAAAGACTCGCCGCGTTTGATGCGAGAGGAGAGCCGACTGCCCGACGGGACAGTGAGGGGGAGGTATGGCTACACCGATCCGTTCGGTGTCTTCCGGATTGTGAAATACGTTTCCGGGAATAACGGCTATTACGCCACCGAAGAGATCGGCGAATACCCGGCGCCGGCGCTCACCTCCACCTCCACCTCAACGCCGCACTATTTTAAGGCAACCGCTCCTCAGGTCGAGGATGTGGTCAGTAGTGAAGAGCCCGACAGTTATGGCCGCGATTTTGTCGCCAAATTCAATCCCCCTCTCTATCATCCCGAGGCCCACACTATGGACACCAATGGCCGCCAGTCGGCCCCCAACGCCCCCGACGACAGTCCCGGCAAACAGTTTACTCCCGATAACAGTCACAACATCTTTAGCCTAAGTAATAGCGAAGAGATTCTCGAGAAGAAGTATAGAGAGCGCAAGAATTTGGCCAAAAGTCTGACCCAAAGCCACAATAGACTGAATTCTGGGCCCAAAGAGCCGGTGATTGACAAAAGGGTGGGACAAGTGTTGCCGACAACGACCACAACCACTACCACTCGTCGGCCAAACCGAGTGCCGCATCTGATTGGCGATAATGTGTCCAAAGAGTTGAGACGAGAAGTGAACAGTTCTCCCATCGATGACAACAACCGGTCGTCCATTAGGTTTAATGTCAATCATATCGTCAAAAGTGATGACATTTCCCGCAATAGGACTCAAACTTCGAGACAAAACTCAACGCATTTTGAGTTAATTTCAAACCATAGGAGAAGAGTCGGCTCTGAAAGAAGGTTTCGAGACTTTGCCATAAATACGGCCACAAGTGATGACACGACTCGACGTCCCGACGACACCACTACTCAACAAATACCCGATAGAGTGAGTCATCTCTACTACAGCCCGACCCGCGCGCCGGCTGTCAGTTTTGTGACGTCTGTCAGTCGGGAAATACACGAAGAGATCAACGAAACCGACTCTAAGAGCGGTTCCAGCGATGAAAGCGAACGCAAAACACATGAGTGGTATAAAAGTGACGATCGGTTCGCCGTTTGGACGTTCACTCCGGAGCCCACTCTTCCCGACACTAACGCCACAACTGATGAGACAATTGGTCTCAAAGTTGAAGACAATGTCAGTAGTGTTAGTGATAAGAGTCCAGATGTGAGCGCATTCCTCGTCAGATCCGGTGTCCAAGAGTTTAAGACAATCCCAGAGGACATGACTGAAGAGGAAATGCCTAAATATTTGGACAGAAATTATTTTTTTGATTTACCAAAAAATATGCCAACAATTAAGACAACTGTTGACTCAAATCCCATTGAATACAAACCAGAGATCAATTACAAGACTTTTAATAACTTTTTTAATCGCAATTCAAGTCCTAATAAAGAGGAAAGCGTTGGAAGCGATGACACAAATGAGGCAAACATTTATGAAGAGGTGTTGACAACTGAACCGACAATTACTGAGACAACACCGCAATCGCCTCAATACGAGTCCACACAACTCGTGGAGACAGAGCTTAAGACAAATGGCGCCCAAAATACAGACAATTCATCACCAGATGTAACAAAATCAGCGTTTTATCACAATTTGTGGTCTAATTTGAAAAATGAAAACAATAGCGCTATTAATGATGAGTTGATGACCACTACTCTCAGTCCCACCACTTCTACCACTTCTGGCAATAATTATTATAAGAGTTATATTTTTGGTGAATATAATGACCACAAGAGCCAAACCGATCACAATTCACATGTTTTGAGACATTTTGTGCATAATTTGAATAAACAGTCTTTTAATGAAAAACTGGTCGAAGAATCGCATGATTTGAGTCCATCGACAGAAACGACAACAACTTTTGAAACAACTACCGAGACATTAGTTTCTGGTCATAAAAGTGACAATAATTCACTTGAAAACAAGGAAATCAACGAAAAGCTATTAAACACATCGTTTTTGACTGACTTTTGGCATAATCTGGACGTCAAGTCAATTATGTTTTCAGAGGGAGAGCCGCAAAATGCAAGCCTAGTGTCGGCACCGGTAGTCAACACTAACACAACCACAACAACGACTACTACTACTCCTATCACTACAACTGAAAGCCCTGTTGTTATCAATGAAAATGTTTCATTCATTACAACTACAGATAGTATTGAAACTCAAACTTCATTCACAACTCCAACTCCAGTGACGACCGAAACAATAAGTTTGGAGTTTTTAAATAACTTTTGGCACAATTTTAATGATAATTCGGACCAATATTTTATACCCCTTTTGGACAACAAAACAGTGTCTGAAATAACAAACACAACATCCGATGGTTTGTACGAAACCACCGCATCGTTGGCCGACATAACTCCCGATGAGATCAATGATAGACCACAAGAGAAGACCATTGACTCAAATAATAACTCTTTGGCCGCATATGAAAGACAAGATTTGGATGTTTTAGAGGACATTAATTACGCGATTAAAGTTGTGCCAAATGTGAGCGCAAACGCACCCGAAGTGCACAAAAACCAATACATACCACCACTTCAGGCACTCTTTGGTTTAACACAACCAGTGGTCAAACGCGTCCGTAAAGTGCAAAAACACCGCTTAAGACAACTCATCTCAAGCGCCGATCAATCGGATAGGAGTATAGAAGAGTCGGTCCCATCGACTACAACGGCTGCGCCCGAAGAGAGTGCCGACACTTACGCCACGATTACATCGACCCAAACGGTGTCCACAATCAGTGAATCGCAAGAATCGCCAAAATCTATGGCAAACACCGATAGAGTGTATCGTTATATCCCTCCCTTTCCTCCCTCTCCTCCACTCATAAGAGACGACAACAGCGACGGAAGCTATGATAAAATGCGGGCAAATGTTGGCTCAAATGCCGAGTATTCCCAGACATTGAATGATATGTCAGAAATAGTGACAACAATTCAGTCAATGACAAAACCAATTGAAAAAGAGACGATTGAAGTGAAAGAAAGTGATTTCAACGATAAGACAAGTGTTGTATTCATTGAAAGGAAGGATAACATGGGATCTAATGAAGAGTTAAAGCCCACCATTGAGTTGATGGCCAAAAGCGGTCATTCAAGACATCAACCAAAGTATTTGTTCCCAATTGAGCCACGAATGCAATCATCACAAGAAGAAGAATACTTTCCATTTGATAGCAATGTCTATACTTTAGCTTAAATTGAATGCAAAATTGATGTCAAATACCAATCATTTATAACAATACTTTACTTTTAATAATCATTGTTTAATTTTTGTTTACCATATAAAATATGATAAAACTTAATTTGTATTTATTTTGTTTATTGTAATTTTATTGATTTTTATTAACTTTTATAACAAAAATAAATCTTAATTAACAGTAAAAATAATACTTTATTTAAATAATAAAATCAAATTTTAAGTGAAATATGAATTAGATTTAATAAACTATACGTAGACTTACCTAAGTACATTACATTGAATTTATAATATAATTAAAATATATACTAAATCAGTTAAATCATAATTAGTTAAAACTCACACAAATAAGAGTTGTATTCATGACTAAATCAGTAAAACACATGCCTTAAGCTCAATACCCATACATAACAAACCGGTAGTAATGATAATAGCCGTCCATCCAATGCAGTCGCGGCGGACCTCACGGTATGTGTGGTGTCTATCGGCCCGAAGACCGCCCGTACGGCCAATCAGTTTGTGTCCCAAACGGGACGAGTAGTGCTATCTGTGGACACAATGCGATGCCATTCGCGCCACACATACCGTATTGAGTGTTGCGATGGCGTCCGGCAAACGGCTCTTACGGGTCCAGTCGTGTAATCTGTCGGCGATTTAAGCGATTGATTGACAAAAATGTCAACATTTGATGCGTTAGCGGCACATCATATGACACCTTTCGGCCACACATTGAACTATTGGTCCAATTTTGCACTCAATGTTGCGATAGTTGTCGGCATTGAATACAAAGGAATGCCGACAGGATATCAATTTGAATGCACTTTTTTTGATCAAAATTAAATTTGTTTTATATAAATGACTTAACTAGGGATTAGCCCGATTAGAAATGGACATAAAAAACGTCATTCGAAAATCGGCCGTAACTCGAAAACGGTAGGTCTGAGACATGCGGTTCAAAGTGGATTCGTCACTTTCAGACCAAGATCTATCATATGAGAGGGTGTTGCAAAAACGTTATTTATAAACACCTATATCTCGGTATCCATAAGAACTATCGCAATGCAAACCACACGAATCGATTCTGTGAGCAATTATCCATCTTTTGGTGAAGAAAGCATTCAAATTGAATAAACTTTTTGCGCCCAAAATCAGCTCAAAAACAAAGTTTTTAGCGAATTTTGAAAAACCTCGACTAAAAAGTGTTTTTGAAAAATGTGGGGAAAAAGTGCCATGGAGTTATTTGTTCGCATAGTAAAAATGTATTCATTCCTAAAAGTTTCTGGACATAGCCTAATTTTCAAAGCGTTTTTCCCGTAGGTTAATTAATTATTTTTTTGCACAAATAAATGATTAAAGAAAGTGAATAGTTGGGTCGCCCACCTTATGGAAATTATTTTAACAATAGTAAGGTTAAAGTTAGTAGGTAGGGTGGTGATTTGGCAACTGGTGTTAGCTGGGTATCAAAATAACTTAGTAGTGATTAGACCAGAACAGACCCATAACACGTGATCTGATTGAGTCGAAATGCACACCATTTTAAAGGTCGTTGAAAATCAATGTAAGTATATCTACATAGATTTAACATCCAATAAACGGTTCGCCCGTAGTAGACGTGTAACGCTAACAATGTGTAAATTGTAGTTCGAAAACGGTTTATCCGACAAAAGCCTATAGTATATTTTTGGAAATGTTCCACAAAATGAAGATAAGTATACCGAAACAGAATTGTTCTACAACTATTGTTTGAAAAGTTACAGAGCCCTTAATATCTAGCCACATCTATAAAAACGATAAAATTAGCGTGTTTAATACTTAAAAGGTTAACGCGAAGCTGAAACTTAAAGAAATTGACGGAAGGGCACCACCAGGAGTGGAGCCT